CATGAACAGATGAGAAAAACAACGAGGAGCATGCCTGCCTTCCTCCCTTGTGGTGGCCTGTGCCTGTACACCCAAATACACAGCGTCCCTGATCGATCCAGTGGCCATCATCGCAATTCGTTTACACGACGAGGTGACCCAGCTGCTAATCACGCACTTAGAGTAGAGACAACAGATCAGTGTCAGCAGGTTCCCTCGCGCCCAGGGCACACACACGCGTACGATTTAATTCCTGAAACCGCACGGCGCGCCTGCTCTCTCTGCCTTCTCTGCTAATAAGGATAGACAGATGCAGACACAGACAGTCAGTGACACTGAGATCTCTCATCTCGTTCAGTAACCACTAACACTCCACCATCATTTTCTTCCTTCCATCCAAATACATACAGAAGCAAAAGTAGCAATATATACTCCATCAGCGCGCCACCGATGCCTCAACAACCACGGGATTAATTAGGATTAGCGTACGCTACGCAGAGCAGGCAGGGGCAACGGGGGCATGTCAGTGCTGAGTGTGGTGACGTACCCATCCCATAGGTACAATACAATACAATGGCGTCGTCTTGCTCTCGCCGACGGAAGGTTCGCTGTCGTACGTCATCCACCGTCAGGCTCATCGGACGGAGGCGTCGAACGAGCCTACGCCTACCTTTGGTTCCATTCCGCTGCCGGAGGATCGAATATATTCTGCTGGTGCGGTTGGGTTGGGTTTTCTGTTGGCGCGTCTCAGGCAGGCAGGCAGGCAGCACGAGTGCGGTGGAGGATCCATACATGTCCATCTGAGACCGAATTGAAAAAGCTAGCTGATTCGTTCCTTGCTCTTGTCGCTGCTGGCTCCTGGCAGTGGCAGTCTAGAAGATAAGGAACAAGCTAGCTAGGGCACATGTAGTTGTAGAGGTAGAGGCGTTTGGCAGAAGATGTGTAGTCCAGCTAGAGATGCTGCAATGGCTCGTTCCTTTTGCCCGTGGTAATTATGCAAAGCAAAGGTTGGTGCCATGCACGTTCGATCGGAGTAGAGTAGTAGTGCGAGAGCTGGTGGCGCAGAGAAGGCCAGAAGGGACGGTGACGGGGAGAGCTGTGTTTTTCAAGTTTTCACCCTTCCCCAAACCTACTTTTCCCTCCTCCGTGACCGTGTCCATGGAACAAAGGCACGGCAGAACCTTTGTTTGCTTTCTGCTGTATGTACGTCGATGATCCTGCAAAATTACTGCCTTTTCATGCCAACGCATGCAGTGCAGTGCAGTGCAGTGCAGGGGGGCAATGCGTGCGCGGCACTCTGGAAAAAAGATGACACCATGCATGCATGCGCGGCGCAGATATTATAGAGAGACGCGCAAAGTGCAATACACTACTGTACTGTAATGTGATGTGGGGGAACAGAAACACCGGGAGATCACAGAGCGCGCAATGCGATGACGATGTGGTTCTTTACTGTTGTTGTTGAAGTTTATAGAAAATACTATTCGCATTTATAGCTCTCAATTTTTTTAAAAAAAACTCTCAATAGAGATCGTATGAAAAAATATATTTCATGATAAACATAATGATGCCAATTTTGGCATAGTAAATGTTAGTTTTTTTTGTATAGCTTTGATCAGGTTAAATAAAACTATTTAACTTATTGAAAAGTGAGAGTTTTTTTTTGGGGATTTTCCTGATCCAATGCAGTATGTGTTTGTGGCTGAAGTGAAGGTGTGCAAGTGCAGCTGCAGTCTCTACTGAAGTTGAGGAGCCAATGCTGTGCTGTGAGATCTGTCCAGTGGGCAATGGCAGTATGGCACTAGGGATCCCTATATGGCACTGTGTCACTCACTCCTGCGGCCATTCCTGGGTTCAGGACCTCAGGTACACCATGCGGTTTCGCACGCACGCGCGAACCTGGCCGCCCCACCTCGACACGAGTACGAAAACAGAGACGGACAACGGTGTCGATCGTGTGATGATGTCAGGCAACCACAGTTGATAAGGCCCCGTTTAGATCCAAAAATTTTAGGATTTTGACTACTGTAGCATTTTCGTTTGTATTTGATAATTAATGTCTAATTATGAACTAATTATGTTCAAAAGTTTTATCTCGCGATTTCTCACCCAACTATATAATTAGTTTTTTTTTCATTTATATTTAGTACTCCATGCCTATGGTACGCACGAGCAGTCGAGCACGACGCAGCACAGGGGCCGACAGCGCAGGATGGGGCGAGCATCCTCCGGATCAGCGGCAGGCGAGGTGCCCTGCCTGCCTCCTTCCTCTACGTCTTTCTCTTGCTCCACATTTCCATCTCGGGGTGGGATGGTAATCACCCTGTTCGCTTCCCTAATAAGCCCATGACTGAAATGAAATTACAGTTGGTTGATTTATTGTGAGCGAAAAATATTATTCGTTCGCTGAAAAAATACAGATTATAAGCGAAGCGAACATGGCGGGCGCCGCCGTGGCCGCGTGCTGGACTTGTGGATTGTGGTGTGTGTTGCGTGCCACTGCCAGCGCCAAGAGTTTTTAGGGGAGCCTTTTACGTGTGTGCCATTACGAAATATGCTTCAGGCCTACAGGCCCCTAAAAAGTCTAAACGCACCTAAATGCCATGACACTTTACTTTTTTGTCATTCACGCTATTCCGTTCACCTTCCGTCTGGTTTTCCACCATTCGACAGCCCTGACATGTGGGCATAAACGGTCACAAAGTCTAAAATACCCTTCTCTCACAACCTTATCCTTTCGCTTTCTTTCTCTCTGTTCGGTGGGCCCAAGCTGTAAGTGACCCGGGCACCTTCCTCCTCCTCAAGAACGCGGCCGGGGAGAGCTCATCCGTGCACTGTCGCAGTTGCCGTGGGGCGGAGCTCGCCCGCGCGCCGTCGCGATGGCCGGGGCAGAGTTCGCCCGCACGCGCCCGTGGTGGCCGGTGCGGAGCTCGCCCTCGCGGGGGTGGGGCGGGCCACTCGCGGCGGCGCCCACGCTGCTGGCGTCGAGGACGGCACGTGCTTCCGCGGCGTGGGGCAGGGCGCACGTAGCGGCGGTCGCGACGCCGACACCGAGGACTGCCGCGAGGCAGGGCAGGGCGCTCGTGGCGGTGCCCGTGCAGCTGCAGGGCAGCGCGGGGCGCTCATGGCGTCCGCGCGTTCGCGGCGTGAGGCGGGGCACACACGGCGGCCGCAACGCCGGCGCGGGGGACGGCCCGTGCGGCCGCGGGGCAGGGCGGGGCGTTCATGGCGTCCGCGCGTTCGCGGTGTGGGGCAGGGCGCACGCGGCGGCGGCCGCGACGCAGGCGCCGAGGACGGCCCGTGCGACAGCGGGGCATGGCGGGGCGCTCGTGGTGTCCGCGCATTCGAGCCGGCCAGCGCTGCGGCACACGTTGAGGAAGCTGGTGGCAACGGCGCCGTTGTCGTCACTCTTGGGAGCAGCGGCGATGGAGCACCGGGTTGGGTGATGGGAGGCGGGAGTGCCAGGGTAGAGTCGGGCAGCGCCGCAGCGGGTGCCAAACGCGGGGATGGCGAAGGCGACGCAGTGGTGAAGCTCCACCGCTCGATGGCGTCTCTGTGCTCCCCTGCGTGGAGGCAGAGAATCCGACGAACGCGTCGTCCTTGACGTGCTCCCCGAGGTCGAGCGGCGCGGACAACACGGGGCTGGATGGCGCTTGGGCGCGTAGGACATGAACACCTCCAAGACGCCGCCTTTCCCATCGCCGGAACCGGAGGGACGGTAGTCGATCCAGGCGTTGACGGTCCTCTCGCATGTGAGGTCGACCCGCCGATGGCGTTGTCCCTGAGGTTGGCGGAGGCGGCGGAGACCATGGAGCCGAGATCCGGGCCGACATGGTTCCGTTAGGGTCGCCGAACTGGACGTCCTTGAGCGTGTCGAACTCTATCGCAGCGGCGTCGGTGGCTCGGGATGGGGTGGCACAGCTCTATGCGACTTGTCGTCCTCGCTAGCTTCTGTGACAACGCCACGCGCGCAACACCACGCGAGCGGCCGGAGCGAGCAGCGGAGAGAACTCTTTCTTGCTAGCTTGATGACCTCACCGTGAAGTCATGCTTACACCTTATACAACCATTTCCCTTTAGAAAAATAAATTCAGAAATACTTTAGAAATACACTTATAGTGACAATGAACCTACACCGTTCCTCTCTGGATCTGCGGCCAAAATTAAAAGATCGCATACACTTATGCTAGCAAACCTGAGGGTAGTTTAGACATTTTTCAGCACAGTTTGACACCGTTAGAGCTAAAAGTGGACGGAATGACGTGTTGCACAAAAGAATTTAGCGTCATGACACCAGAGTGCGTTTAAACTTTTTAGTAACATGTAGGCGTAGAGCATATTTCGTAATGGCGGGAAAAGGCTCTTTTCAGGTCGAGAACGAACGGACCACGGACGTCTCCAAAGCCCAAAGGTGGTGAAAGGCGTTGCCAATCTGCCACCCATCCTGTGTCCTGTCCAGCCTCATGCGCACAAGCTGTCGCAGTCGCTTCAATAGTTGTTGCCGAATTGCAAGCACTTGGAAGTTGGAATGGATGGTTGGTGTACGGGGAAGAAGGGCCCAGGTCTGAGTGGGCCACGACGACGACAACGTTAAAGTATCTCGATGCACACTCTGTTCACCTGTCGGTCCGCTAAAGGCTGCAGCCACCCGATGCAGTCTGCCGCAGCTTTGCTTTTGAATACTACTACTTGAAACAAATTCTTAGCAACGTGATTCAAAAATAAAAAAAATTCTTAGCAACTTCGTAGATGCCGTAACGTTGCATGCTATTTACGCGTACAAAAGAAATTCTGAAGAAAAACTATGACCCTGTCTTTCTGGTAAAAAAAGAAGGCTTATTAAACAAAAGTAACAAAAGGATCTCGAGCAGATCATATGATCATGTATGTATTCTTGAGGAATGTGGATTTTCGACACGGGAAATTTTTTAAAAATATATTTCTTTGGAGTTACAGTAAAGGAACAAAAATCTTGGTACATATGCTCTTCAAGTATGTGAACCCACTTCTATTGATCACAATTAGAGATCATCCACGAAGTTTGAACTCCCACCCTCCCTGCCTGCCTCCAAGTTCCAACTCTGGAAAGCAAAACAATTAGAGATCATCCAAAAAAACACGCAGCTCACACATCTCATCACAAAGCATACCTGGTGTGAACATATATATCGAAACAAATATATGAAGTGAGCCTGACTCAACTGGTTGGGTGAGAAGTGTGGTCATAAAAATCTAGTAGTATTATGATCAGATAAAACCAGGGTCAGATTTGAGCGTACACAAGGCATAACATGGTAAGTAGGATCCAAATAGCATACACGAAGCAGCTCATCTTCATCCTATCCCAAATGATCATGGTTACTTTAGTCTCCAACAGAAACAAAAAGAGGTACTCACAAGTCCCTTCATTTTCTTGGCAGATATCGATAACCGATAGTTCTGTACCAACTACCTACGATTCATCAGCAAGCAAGAAGTACCACAAGGTCTATTCTGCTCAACAGCCTCTCAGAAATGACGTATGGCCAGACCATAGTCCATAGGATTAAAGATCAGCCGCTGATGCTGCTGAGCCAGAACAGCATAGGGAACTGCACAACCGCCAAGAAGAGCAGGAAGTAGTGGTTCCGGCTGGGGTGCCTCTCGTAGCTCCTTGGCCCGCCCAGAAGAACCCTCTTCATGGTCTTCACAAGGAAGACTCCCGTGCAGATGCAGAACCATGGCATGATGAAGTAGTACAGGTAGCCCCAGAAGATGCGGGCTAGCATCGCAACGGAAATGCCAGTGAAACCATATCCAGCGCACGCCACGACGTCCAGCAACGGAGCCTCACCGCTGCCAGGGAGTACAGCAGACCCTTGATGAGGATGACTTGCAGAAACCAGCCAAGTATCCCTTTAGACAACTGTAGGGTCAGCGCCTCAGGGTAAACCTGCATCGCCAAGCAATGCAGCGGTTCATATATTTATTTGCCTTACTCGTGCAATGTTCCTCTCTAATTCTAGATGAAACACAATAGGTTGTTCACAGCGTGTTTACCTTCCAAGAACACCCAAAGCATACCCAGCAACTATAATGTAGGTGCCAAATGCCATCAAAGGGATGTACAAGTCTGGTGCATTGATATCCTGGACTGGAGGTTTGTAGGACAGCCTTCCTCCCTACTGGTTCAGTTATTCTTGTCCAGTGACCCTTAATGAAGGCAATAAAGGCAAGACACGTCATATGAGACTTCACAAAATCACAATATGAAAAATCCCGCTGAGGCAGATAGAAAGTTGACAGCTCTTACCCTGTGCAAGAAAGGGAACAAGATGACCTTCAGTTTGTTCCTCACATACTGGCTGTTGACTTGAAAGTAGTACTGAGGGTTGGATAAATATTGTGTTATCTGGCAAAAACAGAATGAGGTTTAGCCTTTACAGTTTCAGGATAGTTATACTAATCTCTAAACAAGGAACCTGTGTACAAATTTACATTGCTCTGCATAAACTCAGAACTTGAATCTAAGAACCTCCCCCCATATGCTTCTAGTCCAGTACGGATCAATCCTGGTCCAGCACCATGCAAGGCACTTCCAAAAGGATTTGCTTGTGGATTTGTAGGCCTGCCACCTAAGCCTCCCAAATCACTATTCATCACTGCCACAGTAACTGAATAAAATTGGAGTCAGACAACAAGTAATTGAAGGATACATGCACAATAAGTAGTTGTCTGGATCTCAAGATTAGAAATCAGTTCTTAGAGATGGCTTTTATTAGGAACATTTAGACAAAAAAACAAGGTTTAATTAGTTATTCTGCCATTTTTGGTTTATAAATTTCTGTGTTTGTCTTGCAAGTGCTCAATGTGTTTCGTGTTAGATGAATGGCACGTCGTTAGTCACCATGCAAACAATCCTCATCATCAAAGCTGAGTTAGTTATGTGAATGAAAGATTTCCAGCCACAGACACAGGAATAGGGTAAACTGATTTTGTTAAAAATGACTCAGAGTATATTTTACTAAAAACATGGAATCTTGAGTTTACTAGAAACCAGATTTGCTTATCTCAAAGTTAGCTGTAGGAAACAGACAAGGTTTTTCTAAATAACAAACAAAAACTTGTTTTAAGAAATCTAGCTTTTATAAAACTTGAGATCCAAACAAGGCCTAAAGTACGCTCCACATCATTGCATCTCATCTGAAATCATGTAACCTACTGTCTCCAGGAACACAACCATATTGTGATAGAAGTGCTGCTGAAATAGCATTATCTGTGGTTCTGTGACAACCAGACTTCTGTTGGCCAAAAAGGATAATCTGGACCAACATCAAACTACAAGAGTCTTGCTTTTGAGATTGCGTAATCCGGAATGGTCTATACGAATAACAAATTAAACATTGTTCAATGCAAGTGTGAATTATTACTGGCACATTATGAAAATATACCGAGGAACGCATTGTAACTAGAGATGCAATTAAAACAATAAAAATCTAGAGCCTAGCCAGATTTGCAGAAATCACAAAGTTCTGTTGTGACCAGAGTAGCCAGTAGGCCACTTTGCAGCCTTTTGGTGACAGCACACACTTCAAGATTCATCGACACAAGAACCAGAACTAGAATCTGGCATTGTTTTCCAGTCCCAGTCACATCGAGAGAAAATTTCTAATCCTGCATCTCTGCCTCTCTAACTTGCTCCTTTCTTAGCCCGATCACCATCAAATATTGCTCGGACTGATCCTTTCCTTTGATGCTTTAGGCTTGTGGACTCCTAATAACCAATACTCCGTATGCGTTTGCTATATTTTCTCGTTGTGCTACGACTAAATTAGCTTCTCTCTGATAAATCATATTCCTAAACCTTAGTCGATTTATGAATATTGAGTGATAAAGAGACTGAATCCTGTAAATGTACCCCAATTAAATGTACACCCGATAAGTTTTTTTTCCCCAAAAAAGTCGAAGTTAGTACTTAGTAGGCATAATACATGTACACACCTGTAATTAGATCAGATCAGATCCGGGAACAAATAGCCTAAGTTGGGGTTCGTCTGCTCGGTTTCGCACAGCGGGAAGGATGATGAGAAGGGGGGCGCATACCTGGCTTGTCGCCGGCGAAGGCGCCGACGAAGACCTGGGCACCTGGCGTAGCGCGGCGGCGACGGCAACGGCGACGGCGGATCGAACACCTACAAGGTTGCCTGCGAGGCCTGCCTGAACGCTGCGACAATCTTCGTTCCGACCAGTCGGAAAGCGAGTCACCCACATGCCACCTCCACGGCCACAGGCCCACAGCCCACGGCCCAACAACTGGTTGTCCCGCTTCTTGTGTTGGCTCCATTTCTTGTTGTTATTTTCTTTCTTTTTTTCAGTTTTTTTTCTCTTCATTTTCATTTGAGCTCAGATTGAATAGGGTATTGGCTTAATTGTGTTCCACCAGTATGTATGATATATAGTTATGTTATTTACATTGTATAAGGTTTGTTCTGGCTATACAAAAATTTTGTTCCATGTTTACAGTTTTGTTGTTGTATACAGTTTTTTTTTTGTGCTACGAGTTCTCCGTAATTTGTTCCACATTTAAACCCCACGTTTTCACCTTTTGATTTGAGGAGCATATGGGTTGCTTAGAGAGAAGATGTGAAAACTGAAGATCACTGATGAATCGATGAATTCTTTTGAAGTGTATATATCTATAATTATTCCTTGCGCAATTTTCTTCTTACTCTCACCTATAGATATTATCTCCTTGCGCGATTTTCTTCTCAATCTCACCTATAGATTCTACTATTAAGTTGTAAGTTGCTATACACACCCCTTCTTACACTACACACATGGATGCGTCAAAACGATTGGGAGGATTCATTCCCGTTTGTGTATGTAATTACTTGCATCCGCAATAATAAGAACAACAACAGAGTTACACACCCAAAAAAATGTCAGGTAACATGCGAGGAAAACAAAGGGAGGGGAGAACGAAAGAGACGAAGCACGGGCCTTTAAATTTATAGTACAAAGACAACGGACGGTCACGAAAAGGTTAACAACACGACGACACAGCAGCTCGCCGGATCGAGGCCGTCGTCAGGCGTCTCCGTCTTCGGGTCAGTAGCGGCGGACGAGGCCGGTGCAGCGGTCCTTGATCCAGCGGAAGCCCTTGCGGATCGACGCCTTGACCCTGGCCTCCACGGCGTAGGACTTGTACCCGGCCACCCTCCGCCGGCGCTTCGCCTCGGGGTCGCCCGACCACCACGACAGCGCGCGCCCGTCGCTGCCGCCGTGCGACGATGACGACGACGACGCCGCCGGCTGCACCTGCACGCCGCCCCGGAACTCCTCTTGCAGGCCCCTCATCACGCCAAGCGTAGCGTTGGCTCAAGTGGTTGGCTCTGGACGGACGTGGGTGGGAGGCCCCGCGGCGCCCGCACGTATATGTAGCGGAGAGACGTGAAAGCTGCTTCCGTCGTTTGTGCTTGGCATGGCATGCCGCCGGGGCTGCAGAAATGAAAAGGAAATCGAGCAGGTGAGGGCGGCACGCTGCGCTGAGGCCGAGCGACGCCTGTGTCTCTCTCGCGAATTGTTTTAGCGGTAGCGGGTGTGGAGGAGCCGTGGACGCCCCGTCCCGTCCCGTCCGTCCCGCAGCTGCGACTCTTTCACAGCTGGGCTGGCCGTGGCCGGGCTTCCTGCAAGTGGAACCAGTCGCGGGCTGGAGAAACCATCCATCTCCTGCAGAACACAGATTTGCCTCTTGTTTTCGCAGCATATACTTTAACAAACCCTCCATTTATAAAATAAGCATATAGCAGAAGAAACCCTCTATTGAAACATCTGTACTTCTGGTGTTTTCATTGATGAACAGGTGAGTGACGGACTTGTGCACATTTAATATGAGAACAGATACGTCCGGTAACAGCATGCTATTATGAATAAATAAACATTGTGCCACCTCTGGTGAATGAACAGCAAATCAGATAATCTGCATACACCGGTGCTCCTAAACTCTAATTGAAATTCTTTATTTTTTCCCTCTTGTTTCTTTCAGTTCTACATTGTCTCCAATTCTGCTTTTTCCACCATCCAGCTTTACTTTCCCACAAAACAAACCAACCTACAACAGATATAACTTATTGGAGACAGGAAAAAAGTTAGCGCGCAGGCTTATAACTCATACAACCCCCGTTACAAGAGGGCACTCGGTCTCTGCCAGAGATGTGCAGAAGGCGGTTCAGTTTGGACGGTGAGGCAGTAATCATACTATAAAACCATTTACAGCCATGAGTCATCTCCACGTTGTACTGAAATGGGAGACGAAGAACCGGAAATCTGGGTGGTCTACTTGTATTCTGCGGAGCCAGCTGTCAGCCTCCTGCATCAGTGAGGTGACCCGCTCTTGGGTTCCGTCAGATGTCCAAATGGAGGCACGGAATTTGTAAGGTACCAGCCCAAAGATAGGCAATGATAGTTTCCCAGTTGCAGTTGTGCAGCAGTTGATTCCCCCAAAGCCAGGGCATGCTGACGTAGGAAGGTCACAGTCTGCAAGAACAAATGGAGTAAGAACTCTATATGCAACAGATGCAATCAGGGGCAAAATGTCACACAGGTGCCATTGCCATCTGTCCGTGGCAAAGTAAAATCCCTATGGCACTACAAGTCACTAGTATTTACCCTTGCAAGGTGTTGCTAGACAATGGAATGTCAAAAAACAGGCATCAAGATCCTTCAATGTTGGCCCTGTTGGAATTCTATATATGGGGTACCTGCAATCGGAAGCATGAGGATGAAACCAGTAACGTATAGAATCATAGCAACACCAGGTTAGCAGCGTTGCTCTTCTACACAGGTTGTATCTTATGCTGAAATTCAGCACAGTAGGCAAGCCATTGTTAGGCATTGCAACTGGTAGGCATCCTCTGCATGGGCCAGCACAGTTGGCAAATGTCATAACTCTGACCAGTGCAACAGCATCATTCTAGATTCTACAAATCAAAATGTAGTACACAGAAAAAAAAAGGCACAGCATTAAGGCAATGAAACTAGATGTTGGCTGATTATAAATACATGAGATCAACTTAATGCAGATATCTTATAGAAACGTCAAGCAGCTCAGACCACAGCTAAATAACAAGAAAACACTGACCTTAACAAATTAGTCGACACATTTTAAGTGGAAGTTAGAAGACAACATTGACCACAGAACTAGAGCAATCGCACAAAACATATCATACATCATAGTGAATCCAGCAACAGAGGACCATATTTCATCACGGCCATGCCATTGAGAAAATGGAAGTAAAAATTGAGTGAACAAAAACCAATAGTAATTGAAACATACCATGCAACAGACATCCAGCTCGATGGCAGCAGATCACAACTTTTGAATGTCTTCAGAGCTGGAAATCTATGTGCAAGAGTTGATACCTGAAACCCATGCATAGTTAGATTCTATAAACAGGCCATCTTCAATAAGCATTAGTTCAAAAAAAGAAAAAAAAAAAACTTGCCTTGTCTGTCAGAGGCTCTCTACCATATGGAGGATCCCTCTCCATATACTCGAATATTGGAAAACTTGGAGATGCATCGCCCTCACCATCATCACTTCGTACGCCACCATTTTCCAGTCGATGTGTACCTTCCAGTGATGATGAGACTCTTAGCCGCTCAACATCATTCTCAATGCTGCTCTCACTGCTAGTATCCATAGATTCCCCATCACTTTCATCCCCAGGACGCCTTAAGTAAGCGAGAAAATTAACTAGAAAAAGTTATACACTATCAAATACATCACCAAGGTGATAAAAGCAACCATACTGAACAGCGTGCTGGTTGTTGCTATCTACTCATAACTTCTCTCTCCCATTTGTTACTTCATTTAATTTCTTTCCATATATGTCCACCAAATTAAAGTCACATGTAGCAATGCCTAGTGAACATCAGGTGAATGCAAAAGATATCAACTCTCATCTCAGTGTTCTTGCAAGTTAACAGAGAACAAATCTGCAAAACGTTGTCACATATAGAATTTCTTGATAAAATCATGTTAGTAAATCTCAGCAACGCATAACATAATTTTCCTCGAAAGGGAATATAACTAAAAAGAAAAGTTGGGAATGCCTAATCTGCCTTAAGCTCTAGTTCAATAGCATTCAAGCATAGTTATTTACTTTCAAACAGATTGACATAGATGTACAAAAATTCGAAAAGCATGGAGCACAATCCCATCAGTATTCAACTTAATACCAAAGGTCAAACTAACTAAGCATAACAGAGACAAACAAGGAACCCGTTTTGGTACACACAATGGCCCTCTTAAGGTTTAAGTTCAATGGAAACTTTCTAGACATCATGACTCTTTGTGACAGAATAGGTTGTACCTGTTTCTTGAAGCTGGTCTAGATGGATCCGCAAATAGTTGGATAGCAGAAAGATATGGCACATAATACTGAATCACCGAGTCACTGCCATTTAACACCAGTGGAACACCAGCCCCATAAGCACTCCATTCCCGGAAAGATTCCCAAAGATCTCCCAGGAGGAAATAAGGCCGTGAATCCATAGCATCACCACCTCGCCGCATCCTTAGGCTTGTCTGCAGTGGAAAAAAAATTTTGGAGCTAATCAGCACCAGAAAAGTGAGACGATTCCTTAAATGGGGAGTGGTAATTCAACCAAAGAACTGAAATTTGTCATGGATCAAGAATATAGTACAAACATTATTACTACATACATGATATAGAAATAAACAGCGTCATCCAAATTGCAGTGTATTTACTTGTCAGAGTTCACTTCACACAACTGCAAAATCCAGATATAGCAACAGATATGCATACTCATAAACGTATTACATGGAACTGCAGTGAAGTTATAACAAGCGGTCAAGTGCAGCAATTCAGAAACATAGACCTAAGCGGTCAAGTGCATTACATGGAACCGCAGTGATCTTATAACAAGGCGTGCCTATCCCATTCCACCATTATGGTGACTAACAACATGTGAAGTATAAAACATAGACCTCAAGTTTCATACGAACCAAGCAGTGGTGAACATTTTTGCAAATATCAGCCCATTTCAAGTTTTCATCGGCACTTATGGTCATCTTCTTTTGATATCAAGAATGATTGTGGCTTTGAATACATGACTATCAACCAGAGCTAAATGATTGCTTCAGACTAAATTCCAAGTCACGATTCATTCTCTAATCGTTAACTGCAGTGTTTCCACAGACTCATCTTTGACTAAGCAAATGCAGTACAAAATGGCACAGGGACTACAATTCTATCCATCGGATCCCCGTCCTATCAACCACAGCAGATACATCTAAGAAGTAAAACAACAACGCAGCAGACTACTGAAGCAGCAAAGAGCAATCCCGAGAATACCTTGGGCAAGTACTGCGCGGTCACGGAGGGCGTCGTGGAGGTGAGAAACCTCTCCAAATTCCCAGCTTCCTCCGCCGCCGCGGCCACATTCACATCACCCGCCGCCGCAGTGGCCGCCGTGGTCGCCGTTGACGCCACCGACGGCTTGGACGAGGTCGTCGACGAGGAGTCGTCGGACCGGCTGTCCACATCCACCGACGCGGCCACGGCCCCGGCCCCGGCCCCGGCCCCAGGCGGCGGCGGGGGCTTCTGCCTCGCCGACCGCGGCGACGGCGACGGGGACAGCGACGGCGACGCGGACCGCAACCGCTGTTGCTCCTGCTGCTGCTGCTGGCGCCGTACGTGGGGAGGGTTGTAGAACCTGTTCTCCGGCACGCCACGGGACGAGGAGGAGGAGGCTGCGCCGCCGGATGAGCCTGCCATGGCGGCGGCAGCGGCGGCGGCGGCGGCGGCGAGAGGGGACCGGTAGGTGGGGCTGCGCTAGGGTTTTGCGCGGGACCGGGGATTGGGGAATTGCGGTGATTAGGGTTAGGGTTTTGGTCGCTTCGTTGAGCGCTTTTTAATACGCGGGGTTTGGATCTGAGGCGGCGAAGCGACTGCGCGAGCGGGCGAGCGGGCGAGGACGAGGAGAGAAGGAGCCGAGGAGAAACGCAGGCAGGCAGAGCGAGCGTGGTGGGATGATGGGCGCGGGCCCTCGCGTCGCGCTGGTGGTTCTCCGCGCTCGCGACTCCCGTGGCTCAACTCCATTCCGTTTGAACAGCGTTTTCCTCTAGTAACATTTCAGTAAACTAAATTTTAGCATAAGTGAACAGTGACTTTCGGGCCATCGGTTTGGTTTGTTTCCCTAGCTTTCTTGCCTAGCCTGACCAAGCAAGATCATTCTTGCCAACGTGGATAAGCATATTTGTCTCTCTTGTAAAAATAAGGTAAATCTTGCTTGAGACAAGCTTGACCATAATCCAAACAGTTCTTCTTCTCTAACTTCTTACCGAGCGAGCTAAGATAAGTCTAAGCCCAAAAATCTCCAACTTGAATATTAACAGCAGACGTATTTTCCGCCGGTCAATGAGAAAAGTGAAAAACGCCGTTTGTCGATGCACGCACACTTTTGCGGCATACATGAAAAGAAGATACATGTATATGCAATAGCACATGATTCAGTGGGTGTGTAGAAGATATCAACATGGTATACTACAAGAAGGTATAATTACTCATTTTTGTAAAAGAGATAGGGACAAAAAATATATAATATCTGCTTGTAATTGAGAATGACACCTGTCATGATTGATACAGTGAAGAAGGCTATTAGGGCATAGAGGAATACCAAAAGAAACAAAAAGACATGTATATTAAAATAATATATAAAAATACTATGACCTTTTTTATATAAGAAGAGGGGTCGCAGTGTTTATCCTCGATCATATTACTTGAAGAGTCAAATCGGTATCGATGTTCTATTTGAGTTTTCCTTTGTTGCATTGGATAGCATTCTGATAGGAACCTCTATGAGACATTAGCAAACTAACAACAATGTCATGTCCTTCTCACCTACTTAAAAGCCTTGTCTTTCGATTCATTAGGTGGCACGTTTTTTTTTACAGTTGTTTACTCGACAAGCACCGAAGCTCGTAGAAGCATCAATGACAAAGTAATTTTGTCCTAACATCGGTAGTCGCGATGGCAAAAATCGATGCTTCATTACTTCTCTTCGCTATTGAAGCATCGGTTTTGTCAATGTTTAGGCCCCATCCTCCGGATTTTGAGAATCCGGATAGAAAAATCCTACAATCTTAAATTCTCACATATTTTTAAAATATCAAAATCCAACAAAACTGTTGGTATTCTTTTTATTTAGATTTTTCAAATCTCTTGGGATCCAAACGACACCTAAAACTGCCGTGCAACGTGATCAGGTAGACCGTGGTATGTCTTATATCTTGAAACAAATGGATTGAGTTGACCTAGCATGTCGTTTTTATGCTTTTTCCTTGTTGCGGAGTTATGTGACACGGTACCTTTTGAAGTTTTGAGTCTACCATCTTATCTTATATATTGAAAGGAATTAATGCTTACCGTACTCGCATTTGCATCTCATCTTCCTGACTTGCGTACATGATCGCTTTGATTCGACATTCATCCACCTTCATCCTTCTCAAGTGTGTCCAGTGTCCATGGCTGCTGTTTTTTTTTTGTCTGGTGGGACGTGGGAGGTGGCCAAGTGTACCCAGCATTTAGCCCGAATTTAATCAAGACGTGAACCATTTAGAATTTAGCTATTTTGATAGACAGACCCAACAATTTATTTAGTACCGGGCTCAATTTAGTACACGGGCCACGTCAGCTGAATCGCCAAACAGCCCAGCAGATAAAGGACGTCACGCTGCCAAACGAGAAATTCCTCCAGAAAGCAACTTTTTTCATATCAATGCGTAATGCTTCTGAGCGCACGCATTGAAGCAAAGGCAATGTTCCGGTTTTCTTCTTCCACTGTTGCACTTCTATGCACACAAAGGGGGAAAAGGAAGGAAGAAAGAAACAAGGCCAAACACACATGCTGAGCTCAGGATCACAGTCACAGTGGTAGACTAAGGCCTCGTTTAGTTGTTCAAAGTTGGGAGTTTTGGAAGTTATGAGTTTTCTGTAGTATTTCGTTTGTATTTGTGAATTATTGTCCAAACATTGACTAATTAGGCTCAAAAGATTCGTCTCGTAAAGTTAAAGCAAACTATATAATTAGTTATTTTTTTTACCTATATTTAATACTCCATACATATATAAAGATTTGATGCGATGTGATGTGACGAGAAATCTTACACTTTTTACTTTTTAGAGGTGCAAACTTAGTGCAAATAAACAAGGCTTAAGGCCAGAAATGTTTGGGCAGAAGAAGGAACACGAGCTGTCCTGTCCATGATCCGTGGCCTTTTGGGGGCCCACGGAGGCAATGGCAGAACCAAATCCGAGAACGTGGTTGCTGCTGGATCAGGATCACGGATGGAGCATGGGGAGGCTGCAGAGTTCGCCCATGCCATGACCATGCTGCCCCTGCCGTGCTCACGGTGTGTGGCCACGCGGCGGCACCCTCCTGCCATGTCCTCGCCTCCCGGCTCCCACTCCCAGTCCCAACTTTTTTTTTATTACCCCAGCACGGCAGCCGGGCAAAAACCTCACCTCACTCCTTTGCGTAGGCGTGACAGCAACCGAAAGAACGAAAGAAAGCAGCCGTGTCTGGCTCGCAGCATGTTAGCTTGTTCGTTTCAGCCGAGACTTATCAGTCATAGTGTAGTGTTTTTCTTTCACAACAACAAATTAGTCATACAAATCAGCACAAACGACTTATAAACCAGTCGACCAGGCTGACTGGTTGCTTGCTGAGTGGTTGCTTGCTTCGCTTCCCGGAACCAGGAAAGCATCACCAAACCACGCGCCACGCTATCATCGTCGTCATCGCACCGCTTGGAATGTGCTAACACTAACACTAACAGCGCTGTCACTGTCGATGGCTACTACACTACAATACCAGACGGCACAAGCCCTGCCACGTGTGGCGCTGCTTGGCCACAAGGGAAAACCCAAATCACGGGCGCTGCTCCTCGCAAGAATCATCAGCAGCAGCAGCAAAAGAAAACAAAACGGAACAACCCCAACAACCAGGATCGCAAGATGCCCACGGGCCATCCATCATCTGTTAGCATCGGCGGGCCCATCGATTGACCTGATCAGGACAAAGATAGAGCAGCCACCACAAGATATTCCCCACGGCCAGGAGAGCGAGCGCATCATGCACACTCCGGAAGAGGAAAAATTCTCAGGAACCTTTCCGGAGCCTCCACTCCAGTCAGGACCGGCTTCTCCAACTATGGTAAGCAAGACAGCAAGAGAGGAGCAACAGGTGAGACTAAAGCGCAAAAGCACTCTCCGAGCTGCGTGCTGGAGTGTTGACTGCCCTGCCGAGCGATCGAACGGGACTTTCCTTTCAGGAAACAGTCACCATGGATGGGTGGGTGACTGCCTGACTGGGTGGTGCGTGCCCAGCTGCTGCTGAGTGCTGACCATTTCATCGTACCAGATCGCAAGCAGCAGCAGTGACCATCCATACCTTTCGGCTTTCTCACCGCTCACTCGGATCCGAGGTTCAAGGCTTCAGCTTTTCAAAACCATCCGAGTTCGAATCAGATGCTATGCGTAGGTGGAGACGTACTCCGACATCAGAGAAACCATCAGCAGGTCAACCATGACGCAGAAGCAGCCACGCGCTCGTACATCAGCTCACACCACAGCAGAAACAACCATGTCGTCATCAGCAGTGCAGTGCAGCATAGAGAGAGACGACGACGATGCAATGCAAAAGAGCTAGCTGGAGAGCACCCCAGCATTTCCGGCCACGATTCCAGCCGGAGCACCGCACACTCGCCCAGATCCAGGAGCTGGTACCAGCTACTTCTACTCGCTTGCAGGAACGGCCGGAAGGATGATCATAATCTCTCCTTACATTGCCAGAGAAGGTTACAAGGCAGCTACTAGCACACTACTAGCGGTAGGATTACAACTAGAGGTGGGGGCAAGAACAGCAAGGAAAGGGACGGGGAGGAACAGAGCTGCTACTAGCCTAGCACGGACACGGATTATTAACTCGCTTTGTTCGACTGATGAACTACTACTTAGCCGGGAAAACTTAGCATAGATCCAGAGGGGAAAAGGGGTAGAGAGAGACAGACGGATCTCTCTGGGCTCAGATCATGCTGCATGCCGAGCAAATCTGCAGCTTGCAGCAGCATCGGCGCCGCGGCGGTCTCCTCTCACCGCCTTCGGGTGCGGCGTCTGGTGCGGTGCTAGGTGGGGGTGAAGTCAGGCGTACACGACGCCGGAGGAGAGCGCCATGAGCAGGATGGCCGCGCGCTCCTCCTCGCCGAGGCGCCGCCTCCGGCGCATCCGCCGCCGCTGCTTCAGCACCACCTCCTTGCCGAACCCCACGGCGCGGAGCTCCACGGTGACCTCGTCCGCCGCCTTCTCCCTCTCCCTCTCCCTCTCCCGCTTGGACGCCGCGGCGGCGGCGGCGGCCGCGGTGGCCTTCTTCTTCCGCTGCTGCTGCTGCTCGTTGCCGCCGCCGGCCTTGCTGCTGGAGTCCAGGCCCATCGCCTCCCGTCTCTTCTTCCGGTAACGGATCCCGCACGCGTTGCACAGCGACTGCGACCACAGATCGGGAGCGGATTAGCCGAGGACAGCACAGATCGGGAACTGGAATGGGCCCCGGAGCCGCGCTAGGGTTCCGGGGAACGAGATCGGGGGGTCGGGATCGGGAATACTCTACTCACCATGGGCCCGCAGGGTCCCCCGCGCCAGAGCGGGGTCTTGGTGGTGTGGCACTCGGTGCAGGCCTTCGTCTCGCCGGAGGCCGGCGGGCGCTCGTCCGGATCTAGCGCCCCGCTCCCCTGCTGCGGCGGAAGAAGAAACAGACAACGCGATTAATTAACACCCGCACCCACCATCCGAAACACAGATCGAGCCGGGAGAGCGCGGATCGGAGCTCACCTTCTCGACGGAGGAGTCCATCTCCGGCGACAGGACCGGCGGATCTACCACCGCGGAACCACTCCCTTCCTCCTCCGTCTCCAGCCTCGCGGAGTCCCCGGCCGAGCCCTCCGGCGCCCGCCGCCACTCCCCCTGCGCGGATCGGGAGGTCGATCCGCGGCGGAGGTCACCCCTGCTGCGCGGATCTGGCTGCTGGACGTCGCGGCGGCGGCGGAGCGAACGAGTGGGTGAAGAAGGTACTAGGGGTTAGGAGCGGGAGAAGCGTCGAGTGGAGGGAACCGAGGCGTGCGATTTGCTGTGCGGGGTGGTGGGGTGTGGTGTGGTGGACTGGTGGGGAGAGAAGAAAAAGGGGCCCTGCCCGAGGATTTGATCTCAAAATGGAGGAGGGAAGAGGGGCGCGGGCGTGGAGGGAAAACGCAAATCCGTGGAGGGAAACCAGGGGAAATTTGGGCCGTAGGGTTTGCGTCTTCGGCTCACGAAAGTTACTGTATTGTACTAGCTGATGGTAAGTAGAGTATCCATTATCTACAGATATGAATATAGATATAATTATAATAATTTTAAATTTGAAGTTGGTTAGAGATGTTTTAGATAAAATATGAATGGATAACGATATCATATTTTTTTTTCTAATTTGAGTATCTAGATATAGACACACTACAAATACTAAATCTATAAATTTAAATACAATACATTTTATACGGACACCGAAGGTATTCGATTAGAAAATACACATACCGTTTACATCTCTAGTGGTAACCTATTCAGAGGAAATAATTTTATAGAAACTATATAGAAAGTTTATATTTTGTAATGAAAGTAATGAAAGTTTATATTTTGCTTCAGTAATGAAAGTAGATAAAAGTCTAGTGGATTTTCTCGATTTTGTGATTCTCATGGGCTTTAAACTGAAGTAGTATTTTCTCAAGATTTTTCTAGCGTTGCTGGTTTATATGTACAATAATTTGTTGTGGAAGTTCATTTTCCCAAAGAATATATAGTGGGGACCTAACAATTTCCAAAATTTTTGGCCGGACACGACCCAGGAGTAGGATCGTAGGACACGTGAAGGAGCAAAGCCACAGGTCTATGCTATAGCCACACCTGGCCCCAGGTACCAGAAGGCGGCGGAGTCCATTACTTCAGTGACACTTCTACTTCAGTCCCAAGCCAGAACCCTCCACCTCGCTTCCTCAGGGCATGTACATCTCACAAACGGGATCCGTCTCTAAACACCTCGAATCTATCGTACATATAGGTATAAAGATAAGTCATACAACCCACAGACAAGTTTCTCTCTCTAAGCTGTTTAATGTTTTACATGTTGCTAAGATCAACTATAAATAATTTTTGTATACCATTGTGTGGTTATTTGATAGAAAATGTATCAAGGATAAATAAGAGCAACATGATTACAATATATTTTTTTAGAAACCATCGATATAATAATTATATTATATTTAGTTGCAACGCCTTTTGTCTAATTTTTTTGTTTACATAGCGTTGCCATATGTGCTCGATTAGATCATTCTTGAGTTTCCTATGTGTTAGCCGAGCTCTGATAGCGGAATTTCCAGTTCATCACTTTTGGAGGGCGTAAATATTCTCTGCCAAAACATCCAATGACTCCTTCAGCAAATTTTCCCAAGATGATCAAAGAGGGAGTGAGTTCACAAATTGTACACGGTGTTTTATGTGAACAAATAGCATAACACATAAGCTAGATAGATAAGCTAAGCACCCCAAACAGCTAAATGCTCACTGAAAGCATATTTGGTTCAATCAGACCATACATTGCAGTAGATGCCAAACATTGCATTTTGGTTCAATCAGACCATATATTGCAGTAGATGCAAAACAGCCAATATTTGGTTCATTCAGCAGCTCACAGTTTGATCATTGTTCAATTAATTAAAATTATTTGTTTCATCTAGCCAAGTCCTTGTTCTTCATAGCCAGCTTGTAGTGTATAATGAAATCGATGTCTCAGTAGTTGGATTGATCTGCTAACCAGGCCTCTGTCTGTATGCTCCTGTCAGCCAAATTTTCTTCTAAATTCCATAACCCATGTTCTCCATTCTGTAGGCACCAAATTTTTATGTAAGACTATGAAACCGAGGACAAATTCTTCGAACAGAGATTCTTTGAACAATCCATTGCCTCTCGGTTCCTTATATTAACACATTGCCTAATCTGCTCCTCCATGCACAATTCAAAGCTAGAAAAATAACAAGCATAGATGCATAAACAGAGGGGAGGAGCAGCTCGCCATGACCCGGTGGCGGCTGATACCCTGAATAGCGGGCTTGCCTCTGGATTGTGGATTAGTAGCTACCTCTGGATTGCAGGCTAGCCTTGAATCTATACAGGAACATGAGCATTTGAACTAGTGGACGTGGGGCTGGTGGAGCGCAGCTGAGACCCTGGGCCGACACTTGACGGCGCCGGCAGGGGCAGCCTCCCGTCAGAGGACTGTGTGGACGGAGACGAGCACCACAACCGTCTCCCCTCCGACTTCGATTTCCACGCGGCCCCCTCGATCCGCCACTTTTTGCCCCTGTCCACCGTCCCCGCCTCCACCAGCGCCACTTTGACACCGCTCCCGCACGGCCACCGCGGCAACGAGGCCGTCGAGCATGGGCGCAGCCTCACCTCGCGCCAAAAACACGACGCCCACCCACGCGGGCGGAGGATTCTGCCTGTGGAAAATAACACGTTTTTTTTAGAGATGCTCATCTTTCACAAGACATTAAGCATTTCAAAAATTAGCTACATCATACAGTTCCGTCGAACACACCTCAAGAGAGAACTCGAATAATCCACGTTTTTCACCCAGGATCTAATAATAAGTACGAGCTTACAATACTTAGTCCATTTCATAAAACAAGAGTTCTCAGAAAATATATTATTACAATACCAAGTTTAGAGTGCGGAATTTAAACAGCGAAATTGAAATAAACATCTAACGATAAGATAAAAGGATCCGTTTGTCCCATCAAAAGAATCATCCACACAACAGCTACTCCTCAAGCTGCACCTACAACAGGGGTAAATAAACCATGAGTAAACAATATACTAGGAAGACTTACCCGACTAGTGGGAATAATTTCTCGATTCCAAAAGATATGATAAGCTTTATGGTTTGCTGGTTTTCCTTTTTCCGAAAAGCATTACTAGTAGTGAATCCTTATGTATGTATTTTATTAGCAGTCATGATTAGTTAATTAGCTAACCATTCTATGTAAGCATCTGTTCTGCTTTCAAGCAAGAGTTGAGCAATCAGATCCATTCATCCCCTTTCATCTTTCAGTTCTTACTACGGTGCTAGATCATAGACAAATCGTACCGTATCACACGGTGATTCGCGAACCAATGTATCTCAGCTGGGTATCCTGAAACACACGCCCCGTTTGTACCCCAGACACAAGTAAGACCAACCCACCACTCTCCAGTCAAGGAGGCCAGGTCCTCGTCCAAACTTGGATTCCAAGCCCCCACTCCTGAGTCGCTGACTCAGTGTGGTGCTTAGACCTCCACCGTCCCCACCTTCAAACAGTCGATCCGAAAAGAGCCGGGACCCACGATAAGAGAGCAACGAGCCTTCCCGCTCCCATAAGCAAGTATGTGCTCAGGATAATAAGTCTGTGACCTGATTAGAATCCATAGCAACGGCCGGTCCTTAACTGACACGGACATGGAAAACAGTGTAACCAAGCTATGCCCTGTTGGCTGCGGGACACAACCTATTACACCCACCAATGCCCGTATTATATCCCTGCCCGGTCTCCATTTCCTTTCACCGTTTTATCATGAGAGTAAGAATAATAATCATCTATTGTGAGTAACGGCATGTTACTCACGCTACCGATAGCCCAAACATAGCAGCTACTCGACCTATGCAAGTATGACTCATAGGTAGGTTATCTATGCATGTAGTTTCAATATAAATCATATAACGTAAATACACATCACACATATATATATCCAGTTATCATTCAAAATAAGGGTTATGCACCGGGGCTTGCCTTAGGTAGACGGGGTGTCAGCTAAGTCAGTCAGTGACGGCTCCAGGACCTCCTCCTGCACAAGGACCTCCTCCTCGTACTCCCTGATCACCTCTTCATACTCCTACTCTCCGGCGGTCATGAACTCCACCAACTCGTTCTCTATATGAATGCAATGATGATGCAACACTTAGTATTTTGGCAACAGCAACTATCGGCGTTTCGAGTAAACACCAACGAGTAAATTTATGTTATTGCGCATCTGGCCCAGATGGTATGCTAAAAAGACACAAGATTTATACTTGTTCTGGCAGAATGTCCCTACGTCCAGTTCATGGCTGCTGCTCGTGTTATTAGCACTACAAAGTTCATAGTAGGGGTTACAAACGAGCGAGAGAGGGACGAGTCCCAAGTCTCTGATGGAAAGGTCGATGGGGTGCTGAGAGCTTGATTGCTGCTCAGCTATATGTTTAAGGTTCGATGCTAGTGGTTATGCTGTGATGTCGTGAAAATCAATTCTCTTAGTGGGGTGCCCTGCTTTCCCTTTTATAGGCCAAGGGAGAGCAAGGATTACAGATGGAAGAAAAGAGAAAAATCAGAGGCAAAGGAAATCCTTCAAGGACGTCGGGTCTTCCTTTTCCTCTGGGCGGGCCCTGCTGACATGGCAGGCGGTGACAGGGATAGCACCACGCCGGGCGTATGTCAGCTGACCTTGACAGGGCGGTGCTGGGCGTTTGGCCGCTGACAATGCCATGTCCTGGCATTATCAGCGAGTTGTCACGTCCCACCCCGCCCCGATGGGTGGCGCAGCAGACCAAGGCGCTGATCCACGGCCATACAGGGAACAGACGATGCAGTGACCGCACGTCCGTTACTATAGGTGATGCGAGTTTCCTTCTGGACCGTAGTGGTTGTCGTGAGCTTCCGTCAGGATCCGTGCCTAAGGGCAAATGGCGGTGCCCACAACACTATAAGGCAAATGTCGGCGCCTACAATACTGTTTGGGCTCTGCCATGC